ACTCTACCACCTAACCCAAACCCGAACGACGTCCGTCCGTACCCGACGACGTACGTCGAACGAACGAACGAAACGTACCTCCTCCTCTCTCTCTAACGTAAGACGTCCTCCTCTCTCTCTCTCTCTCTCTCTAAAACAGCTCTGAAGGGTGCGGATTTGCTTTCTCTCTGAAGGATGTGGTTTGTATAAAGGTTACCTTAAATGATAGAACTAAGGTGTGCCCTTCGAAAGAGGGCGCTTGAGTTTTGGAAATTAATACGACGGCCGGATATATCATCTTCATTCCTAATTATAAAGTTTATATGCGGTTGCAACCTTAAAATTGTAGAATTAAGGATGCACCTCAAAAATCCATCGGAATAAGTTATTTTCATATTCAAAAACCCTCTAATTGATCATCTCGATATCGAGATATATGAATATGAAAAACAAATGAATTTACGTCTTAGAAATAGTACATCTTGTAACACAATATGTAGACCATTCATTTTCAAGATTTTTATATGTTAATAGATGTAGTTGATTTTAACTTGAGTTTAAAATTTTATAATTAGATATAAAAATAGATTTTCAAATAATCTTAATAATTTTTTACACCAAAATTATGTGTTATGATGAAATTTAGAGGTGCGCATTAAATAGATTGTTTAAGGTTGCAACCTCATAGAAATCACACCCATTAAAATTAAAGGAAAAAGTTTATATAGAGTCGAGGCTGTAAACAATCAAATTAGAGCCTACCTCAAAATTTTCACTAGAAGAGATTGTTTAGATGCCCAAATATCATCAAATTGATCATCTTGACACCAAGATGCATGGACATGAGGAAAAAAATTTGATTTTAAGTTTTGGAAATAGTGTCTCTTGTAACGCATTTTCAAATTTCAAGATTTTCAAATATTCATAGATCTTATCGATATACACTATTTTTTAATCTTTAAACTTTATAATTGAAGATGCAAATATATTTTAAGGCTATCACAAAGATTTCCAGTATAAAAACCACAGTTCTCAACATTATTTGAAGTTGAGCTTTACCTTGATTGTTTAAAGCCTTGGCTCTTTCCTTTTAGTACAACGATATTACAATCACTCTTAGTTCTTTACATTTCAAATCTAGCTAAGTGGTGAGTATTTTATTAAGTAGAATAAAAGTTCCAAAAAAATATTAAGTAGAATAAAAGTTCTAAAAAAAACTTTCTTGAACTTCGTGAATACTCTACCATCCAATTTGATATTTAATGGCTTATGAGGAATTGTAATATCTTTGTAAAAGCAATCCCATTATGTATTATGAGATGGTTTACCTTAGAGGTCACACCCACTTTCAATCATTGGATGCCAAATCTAAAAGCTCGTATGGATCATAAAGTTCTAAAAATTTTCTTTTCAACTTTGAGTCTAGTCAATAGTACACACCCAAATATCAGATTTGAAATTTAGCTATAAAAAATAGTTATGACTTTCCTATACTAAAATAAATTATCTCATTTTATATTTTTCCCTTAAATAAGTTGTCTCAAGTTGAAAAAGAATGAAATTATAATCATGTATAGCAGCTTCAACAATAGTTATCTAGACCGGATTGGACCACCCAGTTCGGCCTATCAAACCGGTGCCCTGGCCAATCCAATCTCAAACAAAACTCTAGTTTGGTTGAAAATCAATCAAAATTAGTATTTGACTAGTTTTAGCTAGTCCAACAATCCAATTTTGTCCAATTCAATATGTTAAATAAATTCTAGGAATGTGGAATGATGAAATTTCGGTGTTGGGTACTGAATGATGAGGGATATGTACATAACTTGACTCATGCAAGTCGAAGGGCTTCCTCTTCTTTTCAAGAGTCGTCCCTTAAGGAGAAGTACTCAGCATATTGATGAATGAATTTGTTGAATTTGCAATAAAAGAATTGCACAAGAGAAATAGATCAACACAGTATATACGTGGTTCGACAATTGTGCTTATGTCTACAGAGGGTAAACCAGTATTTCATTCATAGAGAATACTTTGGTTTATCAAATATTTATAGAGTTACAATTCTTGTCTTTTAGAAAATTAATCATATTACAATTGTAATCTCGCAAAATAGGAAACTCTCGATATATGAAACTCAATATCTTGTAATCCACAAGATAAAAAACTTTATATATTGCTACTATAACCTTCAACACTCCCCATCAAATTAGTGTGTAGATATCCACGAGCCCAACTTGGATAGTATCTGATGGACGTTTTCTTTGCAATAGCTTGGGTAAATATGTATGCTAGTTGGTATTCACCTCGAACATAAAAAGTCATAATAATTTTTTACTAAACAATTTTCTCTCACAAAGTGACAATCAACTTTTAGATGTTTGGTT